CAGTGCGGTTTATGGGGAATCACATTTCTTCAGAGCTGGCCTGGAAATGTATGATCTAATAAGAGCTACAAGATGAATAGCACATGCGTTTACCCTCTGACCCCTCCATGGCATCATCTGAGTTACGAAGTCGTTCACGGAGATGGAAGAATTGGAAAGTGGAGTCTTCCAGTCTGGGTGGGTGCATTTGGTCAGGAAAATGGGTGAAACTTACCAAGGTATAACACAAAAGTAAGGTCAGGTCTTGATGAAGTAATAATAGAAGCAAGAAACAGGAAGAAAACGCAAGGCAAAGAGAGAGAGATGAAAAGAACTTAAAGAAATGTCTCTAACTTTCATTCCATTCTTTAAATACAATTTGTGTGACTTAAACCTTCAGACCATTTCCCCCCCATATTCAGTAAAAATCACGGCAGTATATGTTAATTTAGAAATTGCCATACAATTATGTAGAATCCCAAATCTAATGAACTAAGTCTAAACATTAATTTTAAAAAGCCTGTGAAAATATACTGCATATAGGACGGCGCTTCTGGGTCAATGGAGTAGGGTGCTGGCCCCATATACCAGAGGTGGTGGGTTCAAACCCAGCCCCAGCCAAAATCAAAAACAAAAAAAACGCAAAAAAAAAAAAAAAAAATATATATATATATAAATATATACATACCCCACATATGTATGTACCACACGTTTCTATGTGAAAGTTTATTTAATGAGATGTATTTTTATATAAAGTACATACAGACTTTGGGGGAGATCGCATTCTAATTATGAGCAAGTGTTTTTGAAATTTACATTTCTAATTAATTAGTGTTGATTTTGAGACACCCACTTTTAATTACACTGCAATCTTCAGAAGATACATGTTTTGACTCAAATAAATTATAAAACAAAAGTGCATAAATTATTGTCTTTCCTAAGTTAACAGCGACATTAAACTTGTAAAAATTAAATCTACAATAATTATTGTCATTAATAACTCAGAACCTAGTAGACCTTTCACTAACAGATCTATTTACCATTTATCACCAACAGAAGGCATGGTGGTAACTGCTTGCTTTCATTAATGAACACCCCCCCATCTCTGATCCATGTAGAGTAATCGAATTTTTGATGTATCCTTGGCAGATAAAAGGATTCTTGGATTTCTTTCCTGCCTTAGGATGATTCCCAGATAAAAATACAGTAGAAGCTACAGAACAAAAAGCAGGACAGAGCCATCTGGGCCCAAAGGTTGCAAAGAATTCCATCTCCATAAGCACAGAAAGAAATCAATTTATCTTTCAAATCCACTCAGTCTTCCACTTTCCAAAGTTTATTGCAGGAATAGGTTTTTCTAAACTGGTCCACTCTTAACATATTTGCCAGTTAATTTTCCTTCTGTTAAGTGCTTTTCATTTTCTGTTACTTGTTCAAATGCCCCTTTACAAGAACAAATTGCACCATGAGCAAAAATGTGGGGAGGATCCTGCACAATGGTCTGGGTGACAATTTCAGTGTGATATACTTATGAGGAAAATACCTTAGTATAGTCTCAAATCCCTGAGAGTTTTTCACATAGGGGTTACTGGACCAGAGTCTAAGATAACCCAGTTAGATACCTGCACACACAGAATAAATAATAAGGGGAATACGGCACTTATTTAGGGATAGCCATCATTCAGGTTTGAGAACTAGTTGCATAGGGAAAACAATTCTAATAGAGGACACTTATTTAGGGATAGCCATCATTCAGGTTTGAGAACTAGTTGCATAGGGAAAACAATTCTAATAGAGGACACGAAAAAATCCCACCAGACTGGGATGTCAATGATCATGGATTCTCTTAAAAAAATATTATGCACTTACTGAATCAACTAATTGTTCTTTCAGTTGCCAGAATAAGTTGTGGTCATTTATTGCTGTGCACAATGAATCCATCCCACAAGAGTAATGTATGCATCTGATTTCCAAATGCCAATTTTAAATACCAAAGTGAGAGTGTAGGAAATGTGAAGATGCTATCCCTCTGGAAATCTTACTCCAGGGAGATAAGAAAGAGCAGAAATAAGCATGCTCAGGTGATTTCTTCCACATGTACCAATGAGAGAGTAACTCCCCTCTTCTGCATTCAGAGGGAGCCTACAAACCCAATGGTCTCCCTCCATGTGGAAAGAAATATCAGCATTAGAGAATTATCACCTCTTTACCAACATAGAACTATGAACATTGAAACAAGTGTGACTTTACTGTATAATTCAGTAAGTCTTCTCATGAAATGAAATCAGACCAAAAAAATATATTAAAAGTAGATTATGCATTCAGTATTTTTTAGAATATTTTTATCAAAGATAATCATCAATTAAAATAATCTACCATTGGCCATGCTAATAGAAACTGTCGCCTAAAATACATCAAACTGATTAATAAAAAATGACTACTTCATTTATTACAGAATATCAGTTAGGGATGAGTAGCCTCTTGGAATCTTTTAAAAGCTAATATTATAGGTGACAAATAATTTCTACACAAAAGTATAATGTTATTTGATTGCTCAACTAATTGATTTATTAAAATTCTCTCCAAATTTTAAGTGAGATGAATAAGAAACAACGCCATCTTAAATCTTTCGACCCACCACAGTTGCCAGTAATTTCTAATTATAACCACCTAATTCAGACCGCGTTTTCAAAGTATCAAAGCCTAAATACGAAAGGAGAATTTACCATTAATTCATTATTAATCAAAACCTGAGTAACTGATTTTCAAATGCATATATGCTCAGTCACTTTAAATTCAATATATGAAAATAGTTAAATAGAAGTTTATGTTAGCCTGTAGACACAGTTCATCCATTGTTGGAAGGAAGTATATCTTTTAGTTGTTTGGTGTATTGGAAGAAAACATACTCTGTAAGCATTATTGGGGAGGATGTCTCTGTCCCAATAGTTAGGACATTTTAACTATAAGCCTAACCCAAACCTTCATCTCAATGCTACATTGTACGTAAATGTTGTTAAGGAAGAAGGAAGATAAATACCAATAACATTAGCAAAATGTAGAATTCAAATAAAAAATACACGTTAAATACACACAGAATTAAAACAATTACTCAACAAGTTAAACTTTTTTGCTATACCATATTGATTTATTTTTGAGTGGGCAGGAAACAACGGAGCAGAAAGTAACTATACATATTTCTTATTCTTATCTTGCTCTGGTTACATACTGAACAATTGGTGAGTATGGATCTTTCTGTTTAGAGAAAGGATAAAAAGAAACTAAATATGAGGGCGTGAAACTGAAAGTAGATAAAACTAATGGAAAAAGGTCAGCAAAACATACTATTTATGTTTGAGAAAGGGACTGCCATATTTGTCTGTGGAAAAAGTGGAAACGGATTTAAGTTTCAGCATCAACAAAGAATTATTATACTTTATAATTAGCTTTAAGGTTTTTTCTGGAATAATATTAGGGTTCATACGATTAGGTTACACTGTTTGTGTTTGTAAGGTAAAGTCAGAGTTGCAGTTGAGTCCTCCACCCAGGAGGTGCTGGCCTATACCCCTGCATTGTACTTATTAACTGGGAGCTTATGGATCCCTCCCCTCCCTTCCCTCGTTCCTGAATTTAGTTGTGTATTTCTGTCTTGTAGGCCTGTAGTTGTTCATCTACTAGTTTCAAGGTCGTGTTGAGTACATAGGGTGCTTGCTTTTCCATTCTTAAGATACTTAGGAGAATGTTCTCCAAATTCATCTAGGTAAATGCAAAAGATGTAAAGTCTTCTTCTTTTCTTATGGCTGAATAGTATTCCATGGTATACACAAGCCAGTTTATTAATCTATTTATATATTGATGGACAGTTGGGTTGTTTCCACATCTTTGCAATTGTGAATAGAGCTGCTGTAAACTTTTGAGTGCAAATGTCTTTATGACAAAATAATTTCTTTTCTTCTGGGTAGACATCTAGAAATAGGGTATCTAAGGAGATCAAATGAGACATCTACTTTGAGGATTCTCCATATTCTTTCTATAAGGGCCATATTAGTTTGCGATCTCACCAACACTGCGTACGTGCTCCCCTCTCTCCACACCCACACCAGCATCTAAGCATTGGGACTTTGCACTGTGGGCTCTTCTCACAGGATTAGGTGGTATCTCAAAGTGGTTTTGATTTGTATTTCTCTTATGATTGGGGATGATGAGCATGGCTAAAATAGTAGGAAGGAGAAGGATATGTTTATGTTTCCAATAAACCAAAACATATTTTCTGTATTTGAATTGGAATTGTTGCTAAAGATGGGACCCATTCAGCAGCTAAAGCAGAAGTATTTAACTCATCTTCCACTCACCAGAACTTTGACACAGATATGCAAAATATTGAAATGAAGCAGAGGTGAGACCTCTGTTCTGGATTCAGGAGCACATTCTTCAGCATGAGTCAGATCTCAGATTCCTGTTTCCCTGGCACAAAGCAACATTGCTTTTGCTTGACATTCACATAAATTTAAGCCTTTGTTATGTTCTATCAAAATTAAAAAAAAAAAAATTAAAGGATCTTTTTTCCTAAGGGAAAAGATTAAAATTATACTAACATCAATTTGATAAAAAAATTATAATTCAGTTTTACTTATAGATTCAGACTTGTATTTTGGAATCTTAAATAAGGCTAAAAAGAATGCCTTAAGCTGTATACATTGTCTTAGGTGATCCCATAAATGAGTTTCCTTTGTACAGTGCTTCTTGCATTTTTTTAAGTATCAGTAAAAACTAATTCAGTTGAGTAACAGTAACTAAAGACTGAGGAGGAAAACCAAAGTCCTACAAATTGGTTGTCAGAAAAGCATCTTAGAAATAATTGTACATTAATTCTGCATGTTCAAACTCTTTTCTTCTAGAAAACATCGTAGACGAGCACTGTTCCCACCGCAGACTCATTTGGGTATTAAGACGTTTGTCTCCCTCTCATGATGTTTAATACAGAAAAGCAAATGTTTCATCAAGCACTATCTTTTCTCTACCTGGCTGCCACATGACCTTTGGTCTTGATTAACATAATAATGAATTACATTTATCTCCGTGTGTTCACAAATACACTCTTGGGGCCAATAAAATGGCATATGGCAAAATTGAGTCATCTGTTCAATCATAATTATTATTAGCTAAACACGTTCTGCCTGATGCCAGTTGACAAGAGCCCATCCTGTTCTGTGGACTCAGAGGTTAAAATGTCTCTCTGTTCCATGTTTTAGGCTTAATTATATTCAGTTTTTCTTATTTTCCTGATAGTATGTATATCACGGGTTTCTGCAATCCAATGTTAGAGTTTTTGTTCCTTTATTTGATTCCCAAAGACAGTCACAATAAGATATGAAGTGGGATTAGAGTGTTTTATTTTCTTTTATCAATAAAGTAATGTGTGGTCGAAGGTCTGATGAAATTGTCTGTTTTACTAATAAACATTGGAATATCCTCTAGCAATAAACCTGGGAGCCTCTTTAAAAGAATGTTAACTGTTATACTAAATCTATGCAATGTAGTATCATTCTGTGTGAGTTTAGCAGTGAGAGGAGGCCAACTAGGCATGGGACAGGGTAGCACAGGGAAAGTTTAGGATACATATTACATTCACTCTGGAGGATGTAGGACCAGTCGATAAATGCATACCAAATTGGTAAAAATAAACTAAAATAAAATAAAAAGGAAGTAAAGAATGAAAGCCAGGCCAGGCTTGCTCACACCTGTAATCCTAGAATTCTGGGAGGCTGAGGAGGGAAGATCACTTGATCTTGGGAATTCAAGACCAGCCGGAGCCAGAGTGAGACCTCATCTCTACTAAAAATAGAAAAAAACAAAAATAGCTGGCTGTGGTGGCACACGTCTGTATTTCTTGCTACTCAGGAGGCTGAGGCAGGAAGATCACTTGAGCCCAGGAATTTGAGGTCACCATGAGCTGTGATGATGCCACAAAACTCTACCTGGGTTTCCAGAGCAAGCCTCTATATGTACTCCACCCCCTCCCCCATCTGCAAAAATAAAATAAGGGATGCACAGCCAACACAGACAGAGAGGCAAGCTAAATTCATGTGCTCAGAAGAGATTCCGGGACACAATGTTAGCAGGGCAAGTATCAGATCTTCCGCTATTAATCAAAGACAATATGAAGAAGTATCAGTGACAAATAGCTTGTCAGCAGATGTTTACCCATGAAGAAAGTCTGGACAAGGGTGACTCAAGTTCATTGGCTCATATGTGGTTGGCCAAAAGCTTCCTTAAAAGAGCAGAATAAGCCCATTGCTAATTAAGCAGTGGACATTTGTTTTTCATCTGAGAACTTCACCAACAAAGTAATAAGTGGTTATTTTTTGCATGCTTGAATTTTGACAGGCCATCTTGCCTGGACCAGTGCTTCCAAAAATTCCGTAACTATTCACCTAATTCCAGATTAAGAGAGTGGACCCATCTTTAATATTTATTTTCCTTGACGAGGCTGCCATTTAGTCAACACTGAAGATTTTAAGGGCTCCTTCATAATTTTAAAGAGATTGAGTGAATGCCAAACTTTAACCAAACTTAGAAGCTTCCAAATATTTCTTTCTTTCTTTCTTTCCTTCTTTCTTCTTTCTTTCTTTCTTTTTTTTTTTTTT